GTGTGTGTGTGTGTGTGAGAGTGTGTGTGCGTGTGTGTGTGTGAGTGTGTGTGTGGATCAGAGAGGATTATTTTCAGATGATTTGCTATCCACCCAGCTGTTTGCTTCCCAGCATGCATTGCAACAGTTTTGGAGGCTGGTACGGGATCACTTGCAGACAGATGGAGATCAGGCTACACACTCGCTGTCTCTCTGAATGTGATTTACCAATTAATGAGTCACTACATAAAAACAGTCTTTAAAGGTAGAGTAGGTGATTTCGGAGAGGCTAGCAATAGCAAGCCGGCTTTGAAAGCATAAGATCCCTCCCCCTCTGCAAATCACTCTCCAAAGCCACGCCTCCTCCCAAACACAGGCAGAGCAGAGGCGAACCAGCGACACGATGAGAGACGGACTTTCAACCAGCAAACCAAAAAATGCTTTTGAACCAAATCACCGACCCTGCCTTTAATACGACAGGTGATAAACGGCACTATTAAATAAACCACTATATTCCTCTTTTCATGCAATTTTGAACATGTTTGATCAGCTGATCCAGGAGCTGTTCTATAAATCAGCACATCACAGAGGCCGGATCTCAGATCAGCGTTTCTGAGTTTTACGAGCCATTACTCCAGGATGTGTTCAGGGATTCTGGCTGAAGGGGAATTCTTTAGAGATGAGCTGTGTGTATTTCTGTAACATTCCTGATTATTATATGTTCAGTCTGAAATTATCTGCTGGAATAAACTCATTTAACATCATCGTTTGCTTTTAACATCAAAAGTAAGAATTTTTTCAGCTGTCCCTGTCAGACAATAGTTCAGATTTTTGCTTGCCATGCCAATATTATCTGCCACAAAACAGATTAATACATGAAAACGTTTTAAGCTGAAATATGTGTTTATAAAATACATATAAAATATATTTTTGAATATACATTTATCAATTATATTTACATAGGTAAATTTACACATTCTTTACAAAAAATATTTATGTAAATTATACAGCTCTAATATAACTCCATGACAGTACAAATAATCATAATCACAAATTCTAGAAAATGACAAAATTTAAATCAATATTTGTGACTCCTGCTATCATAATATCCTATTTTGAATTTAAAAAAAACTTTTTTTTTTTAATTCAAAATAGGATATTATGATAGCAGGAGTCACAAATATTGATTTAAATTTAGTCATTTTCTAGAATTTGTGATTATGATTATTTGTACTGTCATGGAGATTGCTACAAATATACCCCAGCGACTTAACACTGCTTTTGTGCTGCAGGCTCACATATAAGCAAAGCTCATCCCTGTTTTTAATTAGTTTAGCCCTTTTGTTTCCATCGCAACTGTGAAATGCATTTTGTCAGAACGAAATAAGCTGCACACACACACACACACACACACACACACACACACACACACACACACTCAACAGTCTGTAAAACAACATTAAAGTCTTTAATAACTGGCCCGAAGGGACTCACTGTGACGCGCTTCATGTCGAGCAGCTGAAGGTGTGGCGAGCAGCAGCGGAGGAGAGTCTGTCTGTAGCATGACTCCAGCGCGACAGGATTCCCATCAACGCTCAGCTCACTCAGAGAGTGGCAGTGCCACAGACAGGCCAGCGCATCCAACCTGCGCACGAAACACAGCATGAATGCTACAGTCAGAGAATCATCAACTCATTAACCCTTATCCATATTATTACAATACACTGTTTCAAAGCAGCTTCAGAGTAATAAACAGGAACGGTGTCATGTTACTTCCCTCCGTATGGAAGCCTGTTTCCACCATGGAATCAAAAATAAAAAAGGTAACGACTTCTCAATCACAAAAACATTTTGTGATTCAGATATATACTGAGAATTAAAAAAAAAAGCCTGAATTGCAAGATATAAACTCAGAATTGCAAGAAAAAGTGAGAATTGGAAGAAGAAACCGCGAGATACAAACTCAATCACGGGGAAAAAATGAGAATTGCAAAAAAACTCAGAATTGCGAGAAAAATTCAGAATTGCAAGATATAAAATCCAAATTGCAAGAAAAAGGTCAGAATTGTGAGATATAAACTCAGAGTCATGAGGAAAAAAGTGAGAATTGCATGAAAAAGTGAGATATAAACTCTGAATTACGAGAAATTAATTTAGAATTGTGTGATAAAAAGTTGCAATCACGTTTTTTCTTTTTTCATTCCATGGCAGAAACATGCTTCCATATCGCCGGCCAAAACTGAATACATAAATTAATGTAACTCACTTTTACAATACACAATGCGTGACCCCTTGGCCTTCAGTAAGCCGCCCACACACACACACACACACACACACACACACACACACACACACACACACACACACACACACACACACACAC